TGTGTGTGTGTGTGTGTATGTGTGTGAGTGTGTGTGTGTGTGTGTATGTATGTGTGTTTGAGTGACCTGTAGACAGAAGTTTTCAGGGAATAAAGGGGTGGCACCAAAATGTGGTATGCAGGCATTTTCTGCAGCTTCCTAGGACTGGGCCCCAAAATTGTGAAACTACCTTTTCCTAGGAGTGTGTTGGTGCCGGTTCTCACTGGCTCCTGAGAGCCCATCACTAGCACTGTTGGGGCCCAGTTGCTAAACACAGGCAGTATCAAAATTAAATCTCATAACCTTACTCTGAATGATGTTGAAAACAACAATAAACAATAGAGATACACTATGAGTGGCAACGGTGTAGATCATCTCTTGTTACAGAAAGCGATGGGAAGGAAACAACGGGAGGAAGGGAGGAAGGAGTGAAGAGGGAGATGCTGGGGATAACGGACACAAAGTCTTTTAGCGGAAGAGAAACGCTGGTCTCCTTTTAGCGGGTATTTTCTGCCGGGGAAGACCTGTAGACCACAATTACAAGGAGAGTCCCTGACGGTATACCATCTTCTTGTCCTTCTTCCTGGCAGAGAGAAGGGGATTCTGTCAGACAGCATGCAAAAAACCCCAATACTCTGCTTCATCCTTCCTTCCTGCCTTCCCTCCCCCCTCTATCTCCCTCTCTAGCTCTCACTCCTTCCCTTTCTTTTCTGTTTTCCTTTGCTTGTTTCAAGGCAAGGCCTCACTGGCTCAGGCTGGCCTTTCCCTTGTTTACTATGTGGCCGATGCTCTCCTCTGTCTCAGGGCAATCCTTCAGCTCAGGCTCCTAGGACTTCGAGGATCACAGGTGTGCACCTTTGAACTTCATTTACTGGGAAGTTCACCTGCCTGGAAAGGACAGGTAGCCTGCAGCAGGATGTTCTAGTCCTCAGGAGACCTCTAGATCAGACAGAGTGTGGCACATGGGATGAGGCAAGTCCCGCTCCATGTTGGAAGCCTTCCAATTTAAGTCCCAACTCTAGGCATTTGCAACAAGTGGGAAATCAAGCAGAGAAATCAATTCTGATGCTAACTTCAGCCCACTTTTTTTTTCCCGTTCTTTCAATGCATAGCAAGACCCTATGCTGACTTCCAACCCCAATCACTCTAGACATTGGAACAGTAATAGCTGATACTTTGAGTTCTGCTAAGGATGAGGTCAATACATGAAGCCGATGACTGTTATTTCTACTATATCAATCTATTACTGGCTCAGTAAGGGTTAGGAAACCAGGACCCAAAACCAATTTTGGCTCCCAGCCTGTCTTTATGGGACCCATGAGTTAAGGATAGATTCTATGTTTTGAAATGGTTGGAAGAGACCAAGAGATGACCATCATTTAGTGATTTTAAAAAATATGTGAAATTCAAAATCCAGTGTCTACAATAAAATTTACCAGAATCTGGCCCATCTGGCTTGTTTATATACATGTAGGGGGAGTTTGTATTACCATGAGCAGGACTAAGTAGCTGCGGCAGAGAACATATGGCCTGCGAAGCTTAAGAGAGCTGGCATTTAGATTTTAAAGAAACTATCCAAAGCTCTTGATTTTGTTGGTTTGTTTATATTTTGGTTCTCTGAAACAGGGTCTTGCTGTGTAACTCACCATTCTCCTGCCTCCCCTCTGCCTGGCTAGATCTTGACTTTATTTTACTTTTTAAGTTAAAAGCTGTGTGTGTGTGTGTGTGTGTGTGTGTGTGTGTGTGTGTGTGCCAGGCACATCTGTGTGAGTGGGTATGCAGAAGCATGCCACCTACTTCCTTTTTGAGACAGTGTCTCTCTTTGGCTGAGAGCTTACCCATTAGGCTGGGCTGGTGGGTCAGCAAGCCTGAGGGACCCTCCTTCCTTTGTCTCCCAGCGTATTGCCTCCCCTGGCTTCTTCCAGGGGTCCTGAGATTCACACTCAGGTCCCATTTCTTCAAGACAAATGCTATATGAACTAAGGTAGCCCCTGACCTCGACCTTAAATGGTGATGCCCATAAGCCAATACCAACTTCTTACCAGGGACCTGAGGGCCTGAAATAGTTTGGTGTTTCCAAAAGTGGGGCAAACTCTCCCTGTTGTCTCTCTCTCTCTCTCTCTCTCTCTCTCTCTCTCTCTCTCTCTCTCTCTGTGTGTGTGTGTGTGTGTGTGTGTCTGTGTCTGTGTCTGTGTCTCTGTTTGTTTGTTGGGGGTAGGTGAGTGGGACTCATTAAACTGCAGAACTCACAGCCATTAGACACTGAATGCTGTTCCATTCAGCTGAGCAGACACCCCCCTCCCCACCACTACCACCGCCCACACTTTGCTGGAGTACGGGGGGGGGGGGGTAGGGGGTGTTTTAATATTGAATAGAACCTTGCCAGGTTGATTTGCTGGTTTTCAGCAGAGCAGGGGTGTGGGGGGTAGGGAGGGGATGCATTGAAGTTTCTGGAAACAAGAAAAGAAAGTACCAGAATGTCAGACATGGGCAGCAATTCGAGTGTCACCTGAACTTCAAAGATCTCATTTTAAAGTTGCATTTTCCAGGTATTCACAGCCCTCTTATAACCATTTCAAAGCAACCTCTGCGGTCCTGGAAAGCAAGCCTCACAGCATCCATTCAGAGCTGAGTTCTCAGTCTCCTCAACCTACCCCATCAAATTCCACTCCGGAGTCAGTCCACAAGTGTTTTGGGACAGAGGAAACTATTATCACTAAGGAAAAATTTCATCAGAACACCTCACACAAAATGGCAACCAAAAGCTCAGTCCAGTCCTGGGGGTAACAGCAGCCAAGCGGTTACAGAAGGCAGGCATGTTTGCATTGTCCCTTTAAGGGACTTAGTGTGACAAACACAGGGTGAGCAGAAACAAACAAGCCCATAAACAGGGGAACAATTGTTTGCTGAGCTCAGCATTAAGCCAACAATCTTGATGTTTGCTCATTCAACACAAACTGGGGAAACACAGACAGAAAGCACCACTTGAGACACCAATCAGAGAAGGCAGCTTAGAGGAAATGTTGAAAAAGCGTCTCAAGGAATTACGAGACTTCCATTGATAGCTACCCTTGTGACTCTGGTGTGAACCCTGCTTAGACATTACGGTGTGCAGAGAGCGTGGTGGATGAGGAGGCACAGCCAGCCTTTGCTAAATGGCAGCTAGAAAGGCAAGCTCGCCTTTCAGAAACCTGTAACAACTCCTTCAGGTTCCGTGTGGCAATTTCACACACTGATACCCTCACAATGAAAGAAAAGTAATATTTAAGTGTTTTTTTTTTTCTTCCAAGTTTTGGCAGTACGTAGGCAGGGAATGC